TCCCATTCGTGGGCATTGTCGCTGCCTTGGAGCTCCATCACACCCATGTCAGATGAGACGATCTGTACCGTACTTATGGGTTCACCAGGGCTTGGGCCACCCAGCCTTCCGCGCGCGGATCGGAAGACGTCCAGAAGTTCTATGAACGGTGGTCCGACCGTGTTTTTCCGCTTGATGCCACTGCCGTTGCTGCATAGAGTGGCGTAGATGGTTATCCGGTCCAGCTCCTTGTAGATTTTGAGCACAGTGGACCGGTGGCCACTCCATCACGGCACGTCCATTTTATCCGCTCAACCGTCTCTAGCGATTCAGGCTGCGGACCCACTTCATAGCGCCCTGTGCCGACTCCGTGCTGCGGCAACCTTCGAAGTTGGAATCTCCGTGCGGTCGTGGCCTGGATACGCGGGCCACAAAAGAAGAAGTTTTACTTTCCGACCCGCGCTTTGCCATTTCGACGCTGTTGAGACCAAAGCGATGGTCCTTCTTCAGCGACTAGTCGCCTAAGAGGAGAACCAGGCGCAGTCACTGCCAAATGGCGAACGCCCCTGGTTCAAGTTGGGGCACTCTAGAGCGCAGAACCGCTGGAAGGTTGCGGCGGAGAAGTTTCGCAGGGAAGGAGGCCTGGGCCCGGGCTCCAATTTCTCTCACTCACTTGGCAAACCAGGCAGTGCCTGCAGAGCAGCTGAAAACAGTCAAAAAAGCTCGCCAAGATGCCAGCAGTCCGGCTTTGGAGCTTTCGACATTTCGCAGCAAGGTCAAGAATGCTGCCTACTGTTGTTTGTGGGAAACTTTTCTCCAACAATAGAATCAACCATCGTGCGTCCAATTAAAAGACTTTCTAATATTTCTCTGGCGCACGAAGCACGTTACGATTTCGAGTTTTCCTTTGCAAAGGCCAGCCAAATCGACCGTAACGCGCCTAAAGCACGTTACGATTGGGCGCCGTGCTACTGTAAAACGCCAGATTTCGCTATCACACAGACCTAGAACTGTGGACGATTTCCACGCAAGATGCTGCTAGAGCAGAGCTGGACCTGTGAAAATAATGCAACTTCGAAGACGTGCGCCGCGCCACTGAGGAATGCCATAATTTCGCCGTCAAACATGTCTGGGACTAGAAGCGAACCGTGGAACCGCCGTGCAGATTGTTTGTGGGCTCGGCGAGTATGACAGCATCAGACGTGTTGCTGTGTGGTCGTCACCTAATGAATGAAGCCATGAAACCTGTTTGGAGCTTGCAAACTGGAAGTGAAAGCGTCAGACGTGCTCTTGTGTGGTTTTTCACCCAACCTGGAACCCAGAGACCATGTTTTGAGCTCCGAAGCTTTTTAAACCGGAAGTGAAAGCATCAGACGTGTTTCTGTGTGGTCTTCACCCAAGAAATGAGACCAAGGGACCTTTCTGGTGGGCTCCGAAGCTTACAAACCGCAAGTGAAATCATCAGAGGTGCTGTTGTGTGGTCTTCACCCAGTAATCATACCAAGAGATTGTTTATGTGGGCTCCGAGGCTTATAGAAGCCGGAAGTGAAAGCATCAGACGTGTTTCTGAGCGGTCTTCACCCAAAGTGATACCAAGTCCGCAAGGGACTGCGGGAGATGCGCGGTTGGAGTGAGCGCGTGAGTGGATTCGGGAGTCAAGATGTGGTTGGGTGAGCGTGCGAGTGAATGTGCAAGACAGAGAGTGCCACTAACTTTGCGATTGTTAACATATGTGAGATTTGAAGCAGTTCTCTGCAGACGCCCGGCCGCAGTGCAAACATAACGTGCACGCGGCCGTTCAATGTGTAGAGTGCTATATAGAAGTTTCTTGGAGTCGGTCTTCTTGCTTTCGAGGGCCCTGACGGACGCACTTTCTTCTTTCCGTCCACATTGAGGGGCGTCTAGCACGTTACGATCTGTGCGTCTCAGTTTCCAATTCAATTTTCGGAACCTCGGACAGCTGAGTGATTGAGTAAGCGCGGCAAGGTGTGTGAGTACGTGCAGGGGGAATGACTTTGGCAGCCACGCAGCTCCGCAGTTCCGCACAAAGCCCTGGAAGCACCTGCAAGAGACCGGGCACTTATTGTCCTGTTTGCCATGAGTTGAATTGAGCTGGAATGTGTCCCTGGTTTTGGGTCCGAAAAATGGGTATGGTTTGGGGTCTGCGGGGGGTGGCCTCCCCAGTTGCAACTGCAATTGGTAAGACTGTATGTAGCAGGTTTCAATTTGACTGTTGAAAGCCAATGTGTGTTCAAAACAAGCGGTAACTGGGTGCTTCACTTGTCCAGCTGCATCTAGAGAAGAACTGGTGGCATTGGACGCTACTTTGAGGCACGTCCGCCTGACTGCTACACAACAAGGCGACTGTGCACACAGGCGCGCGTCCAGCTTGGAAAAAAACAAGCTTTCAGGAGTAAGGCTTCCAAGCCTTGCTTTCTTATGGAAGTACATCAAATCAATATAAAAGAAACGGGCACAGTATAGAGATCTGCTAGCAATTTTCCGCGTAGAAGCGACGAGGGCGAGGTTCAGACACACGCCGTTGATTGACTCAAGGCCTTCTAACTACCGCTTGTGGCGTAACTGCACGTGCCCACCATTTTACTTGTATTTCACATGTGTTTTACAGTCATACTCTTTGTCTGCAGTTTCACTTGAGATCTCTACTTCCGTGCGAAATCATGGCTCAAGAAATGAGGGTTGTGGGACTCTGTTTTTCTTCAGATAACCATGGATGTTAATATTGAGTGTCATCTAAGCTTCCTCATTGTGAAAGGCAGTGTGTCAGATGTAAAGAACAATGCATTTCAAAAGATATTATTATTGTAAAACGGGTAGGTATGTAATGCAGTATAGAACCACGGTGACTTGCTGTAAATGTCTGAGTCTTGATGGAATGAAAGCATACAATGATAAAAAGAAAAATATATTAAACACATGAGTATAATGTAAGCACATTTCATAAGAGTTTATGGAATAAAATTCTATTCTGATTGCAACCTTTAACCCTAAACCTAGTAAAATCTATAAGAGAACCCTTGCCCATTTCGGGATGATAATACCACCTTAGGGAATATGGATTGGGTAATTGGTTATTCCTATACTGGTCTTGCTAATGGTAGTGATATTTTGGGTGGGGTGTAGTAGGGAGTAGAGGAATAATCTTGTTATATGGATGAGGTAATCGGTGATTCCTAACTGGTATTGGTAATGGGGTAGTAGTGGTGATATAATTGGTGAGGTGTAGGGGGGAGTATAGAAATAGTCGTCTCATGGGTTGACTGGTGGTATTATTACCCAAAACGGGCAAGGGTTCTGCTAACTGTTTCTGCGGGAGCCAAAACAGAAACACAGCTTTCTGAGCAAACTAATTTCGACTGCGGATTTTACAAACCAGGATTGTGTTGGAATTTTCTTCAGATGTTTTTCTGGTGTCAAGCAAACAAGTTTCTCGGGACCAATAGTTCGCTTCCCAATCAGAAGTCCCAAGCCCACCTTAAATCCGACTTTACTAATTTTTGTACGATCCCATCATCTTCACCTGCTGCATGCGCTAATTAAGTTTTTCAGGTTTCCTTCGTGAACCTTGATATGGTAATTTTTGGGGTTCTTTTCAAAGCGAGATTTCCCAGACTTGGGCAGGCAGTTGCATCTGTCGCAAGGCAAACAAACAAAAGAAACAGCGTTTTGTGTAATTTTGTTTCTGTGGCATCATTATAACAATGAACTCTCAAGATTTGTGAGAGATTTGCACGGCAGATAGGCAAGAAAAAACATACAAAAGCATAGTTTTCCAGTAGCCACTACGCCAGATTGTTGACTTTGCAGCGTGCTTTCAAGATGATATGCTTCTCGCAAGACGTGCGCAGGCATGCAGCTTTTTCGAACACATTCGCTTTGTTGACACTGGGTGTTGCTTTCGAGATTCAGTGCAGTTCTTGATTGTGTGCAGCGAGATATTGCCAAATTGCCAAGCATACATGGAGCTTAGACCCTACTCTTTAAACCCGAAGAGTTCAGCTCGATGCTGTACACCCTAAAGTCAAAACCGGCTCGATGTTCACCCGTGCAAATATGCGTTTCGTAGGGCCGGAGGTGCAGGCACTGACTCGTGCAGGTAAGGTGCTTGTAATGCTTGCCATCCGGGCCTTCTTAAGGTGTCAATGGTGGCGTTGACCATCATTGGAAAGCTGCGCAGGTTTGGAGCAGAACAAGCCGCAACACTTCAAGCTCCAGATTCACGTGCTCGCTGCCATGTCGGCAGTCGTAGCGATAGAAATTTGTATCGGAAAGCATCCGAATTGGCGCAGCTCTCTACGGCGGACTGCTACTCGGTGCTGGCAGGCTCCAACGTCTCGACGAGCTCGTGGGCCACAGCGGTTTAAAGTAACTATCGCAGCAACAACCGTGCCGGCTACTTTCGGCAGCTTCCTCCTTTTCGCAAACTCCAGGCTGGCAGAAGGCCCGCGCGGCCCGCGCCATAAAGTGCATTTCCGAACGCCCCAACCCCCGAAACCCCCAAGCATTAAGCACCAAAAGTATCCGGCACTCACGGGTTCCAGTTCTGCGTGTCAATGCGCGTCAGCTGGACGGACACACAACTGTTAGGTGCTTGCGGCATCGCCGCCACCGCGCCCTCTCGTCGTCCTCGTCCTAGTCCTAGTCCTCGTCGTCGTGCTCGTCGCTGTCGTCAGGGTCATCCTCATCTAGATCATATCCCGACGATGTAGAGTTGTCTTGGTCATGCCTGCAGGTTCAAGCTGTCACCGCGGTTGTTGGATGGAACAGAGTGCGGTAGCAATGATTTTGTTTTTTATCCAGCTGTCTTGCGTATCACGACCAGCACAGCCACGTCTACGGAGTCAGAATGAGCTTACGCATGTTTGTGTTGAGTTTTGCAGCAGCCCACTGAAGTTGTCATGAACTGCTCTTGCCGTTTCCCAGCGTGCCATGGTCGAGGCGGGTCTTGGCGGTTGGCAGCCATGACCTCGGACGCCCACCGAGGTCAGTGAGACAAAGCCATGCTGCGCGGAATGGTTTTCTCTTGGCTGGTTCCCTCGGCCCTCGCAGACGTGTCCATTGCTGCTGGTGGCCACGTTACCTGCGTGCTGTCCGGTGGGCGGTTAAGGCTTGGCACCATTCAAGCCGAAGGTTACTACAACTTAGGCGTCTCGAGATTTTGCACACTCCCACCCAGAACCCCAAACCCTAAACGAGAACCACCCCGAACCCAGGTGCTGGGGTCAAGGCAGCCTGGGCCAGCTGGGGCGCTGGGGGGATCCAACAGACCTCGCTGACGCGAGCCTGATCCCTCCGGTGCACCTGGGTTTGGGTCGGGAAGCAACGCAGGCCGGGCATAGCGGCATAACACATGCAACATCGGTCTAGGCTTTTGGGGGTCTGAGACCTCGTGAGACTGATCGACTCCCATCGGTCAGAAGTTGTGTCCACAGAGAAATCCAACCCCCTGAACTTGAAGACTAAGCCGGAACCCCGACACCGAGCCCGAAGCCCCGAAGCCCCGAAGCCGGAGACCTAAGCCGAAGCGGCAGGTGGCAGTCGGCAAAGAGCACATCTGTGCGAGGCTTAGTGACGACAACGTCATCTGCTGGGGCCATGGGCCGCATGGCCAGTTGGGCAGGGGAAGAGCTACGAGCCTGCTTGGCTCCCAGCTCCTTGGCGTTCAGCTCGTTGCATTGATAGACATGCTTTTGTTTTTGTTGTATATTGATCATTCAGCCACTTTCTGCACGTGCTTCAGAGACAGAGAGAGCGCGAGAGACAGGGAAAGAGAGAGAGAGACCGAGATTGAGAGAGAGGATGCGCGACACCGCATCCCCGTGCAAACCACAAGTGCATGCACGCTTGAAGTGTGGTTGCAATGAGACTTTTAGCAGTATCACTGATCGTGTCTGGTATGTTCCCCGACCCAGGTCCGACGACATGGGTGACAACTTGGTTGCTGTGGATCTGGGAACCCTTGCAGCCTTGGAGGAGCTTAAACCGAGAGCCCAACACCCAGAAACGCAACACCAAACCCGAAGCCCTGAACTTTTCACTCTTCGTCCCTCGTCCTTTTTTAGCCCTGGAAACGGTCAAGAGCTGGGTCTAACGCTTGAAGCCCCTTGAAGATGCCAAGAGCCTCAAGCACTTTCTTGGGCATCCCTGGGAGGTGGTGGCCGGAGGCATGCAGAGCTGTGCCCGGCTGGTGGACGGGTCCCTGCGCTGCTGGGGCCACCGGGACCTGGAAAAGAGGACTCGGCCCCCCCCCCCCGCTTTTGACGCAGTGCCGCGGAGGCTTTTTTGGGATGAATGTGGGGCTTAAGGGCTCAAGGATCTGAAGATCCTCGTCTCAGCGACACCGAGGCCAGGGCCTGGTGGGCAGCGGAGAGATCGGCCTGGCGATGGGGGAGATCCTGGCAGTGGACCTGGAAGAGCCCGTCCTTCAGGCGAGTTCTTCATTTCTCAACTTTTCCACGTTTATCCGCTGCCATGTCAAGGTTTCGATTCATAGCTTATCTTCCCCGGATTTGTGCAGCAAAGTACTCCCTGCTGGGAATAAATAAAATGCTAGAACTACGGGGAACTCCCTGATCAGGTGGCCGCCGGCAACTCGCACACCTGCGCGCTGCTGGAGGCCTACGCGGCCTACGCGAGTGAAAAGGAAGTAAAGTCGGGGGGGGGCAGACTCTGCAACGACGAGACTGTCGGATTAGGGCCTTTCGGGCCGTCGATTACGTCCCTCTTCCTCTTCTAAGCCCTAAACCCCAAGCCCTACACCCTACACCCTGAGGCCTACACCCTAAACCCTAAGCCCTACACCCTAAGCCCTAAACCTTAAACCTCTGAATCCCTACCCTAAACCCTAAACTTTCGCTTCCTTGAGGCTGGTGCAGTGAAATGCTGGGGCTCGGACTCTGACGACTTCGGCCAGCTGGGCTGGGGCCCGGGCTCCGCTTCGCTGCAGGTGCGCGCGCGTTTGGGGCTTTTGGGGGAGCCCGAGGCTGGGGCAGGCTTCGGAAGCAGGCTTCTAGGTGCGTAACTTCGTTCTGTACTGCAGGCTCTAGGCTCCTAGAAGAAACCGTGCAACGCCTTGGAGAGGCTTCAAGGCTCTCTCAGGGTCGGATTCCAGAAAGTTCGATCTGAACTCTGACTCCGGGATTGAGGGTCAGTCCTGCTGTACCGTCCGAGGTGACGGGACTTGGGAGAACAGGGGGTTCGAAGTTTGGAGTCCAAGGGCGGACTCTTGCCGAGTGGCCACAAGGGTTTATTGACGAACATCCTGCGATCCTTGCACCCAATACAGTAGTTCAACAAGTTTCAGATCCGTAAATGTATCGTAAAAGACACCATGATGCGGCAATCCCTCACATTGAATTACACGCATGCATATGCATATATATATATATATATATATATATATATATATACATACATACTCATCCTCATCGTCAAGTTTGCAAGCGGTCTGTGTCGATCATCGTAGTGTTCTGTCAGATAATGTCAGATAATTACAAACAATTTCTCCTTGAATGCACTCCCGAATCTCTGCAGCCGGGCGGCCCGTAATAGCTATTCCCGCAGATGCTCACAGAACCTATGGATTTCGGAGCCCCTTAAACTTATAGAAGCCTTTTTTTGAGCCCTCATAGCTCTAAGCTTGAGCAATTGTCGCAAGAGCATGTAGAAAAGCCCCCAAACTAGCCCCAAACTAGCCGAAACCCCTCAGCCCCAAAAAAGCCACAGAAGCCAGAAAAGAGTTCCCGCAGACCGAGCTCCCGGCCGTGGACCTCGGCGGCGAGGCCCTGGAGGTCGCAGCGGGCCGCGGCTTCGCCTGTGCGCGCCTGGCGACGAGCCAGGCGCCTTCCTCGGCAGGGGGGCGGATCCAGAAGGTATAAGGATTCTATAAAGGGATTTGGGGGTTCAGGGGTTTAGGTTAAGGATTTGGGTGTTAGAGTTTCGGGGTTTAGGGTTTGGGGATTAGATTTTGGGGTTTTCTGGACTGGTGTTTTGGGGGGATAACGGCCATGATCCTATTGCTGCTACAGCTACTGCTGCCGCTTCTATTTCAAACAATCATAGTGACTATGACTATAGGATTGGGAGAACAGGAAGTCTGCAAGACTACGTTTCTTGTTGAGTCGAGGAAAAGATGAGAGAGCAACATCACATATTCACCAATTTCAACAAGACTGATAGGCATGGTAGCAAAAGCATTATCGATAGCAGTGACACGAACGGCAGTAGTAATAATCATAGTTGTTGTGAGAGGTATGCCCGTATTGCTAGCGAAAGTGACAACAACGATCAAATTGTCGGTTGAATTTGTGTTTGGACGGCGAACATACAAAAGCCATTTGAGATGTTGTAGGGTTGCAGTGCTTTTTACTAGCGGCGAGGCCTAAGCCTAAACCCCGAACCCTAAGCCCTCGATACCTTACAACTTACAACCCACAAGCTTTAAAGCTGCAAAGCCTTAAACCGCCAAGCCTTCAATGAAGTCCCATAGAACCCTTGCAACACCTGCAAGATTTTTAATAAACACTGGTCAAACCCAGGTCAAGTGCTGGGGTTCCGGCAGCGACGGTCGACTGGGTACCTCTGCGATGCTTGAGGGTCTGGGTCGGTCAGTGCGAACGCTGTCGGTCCTTCAGTTGCGTACCCAGAGACTCCAATATCCCTTAATTAAGGAATATACCTTAAAGTATAGTAGGATCCCTAATATGATTTAAGGTATATTCCTTAATTAAGGGATATTGGAGTCTCTAGGTAGTTTAAATTTACTTCGCCATCGTGTGGAAATCTTAGTAGGCACCGTGTATCCCTCTCAGGGTGACTTAACTTAAGATCCCTACGCGGGCACCGGGGGTGCAGAAACTTGTAGGCGTGCTTAGAGCCCATGACTCAGGTGTTAACTTCATCGCCTGAAGACAAGAACTCCCCTGAAAGCATCAGTACCAGGATTCAGGTCCCTGAACCCTTTAGAAAACCCTAAACTCGATACCCTAAACCCTACACTCTTCACACTGAACCCTAAGCTCAAGTCGTTTTTGTTGCAACAGTCTTCGTTCGGCCTTCTGATGCATACAGGCTCGGGCTCCACCGACAACATCGGTGACAATGCGCAGGACGCAAATAGCGCAGGTTATAGGGTATTACAGGGTAGGCTGCGGGTTCAGGGTTGTTTGGGGCTACAGCCAGTGTAGGGTTTTTTTCGGGGTATGTGGGGATTCAGTGTAGTAGTTCAGGGCATCAAGATGCGATGCTCGTTTTCCCCCCTTGAACTTCTCCAGGCGCAGGAGCTACCCTCAAGCTTATGTCTCACCCGTAAACCTAGAAGCCTGTTGCGGGCAAGTTGTGAGTTGGAGGGGTTTCGTGGCTAGTTTCGGTGCTGAGTTTCGGGGCGGAGTTTCGGAACAGGGTCCAGGACGGTTTCGTGTCAGGACATGGTCAGTTTCAGGCCCAGGCCTTCAAGAATCGGACTGAAACTGCCCACCCCGCCCCCCAAACTGACAGAGCCGCCTCTCGGAAACTGATTCGAAACCCCCGGCAGCTCCGAAACTAGAACCCCAGAAACGGGCACCCGCCTATAAGCACTATTACCTGGTAGCCCTTTTGCCTAAACCCCAACGCCCTTTGAGCCCCTGTAGCCCTATAAACCCTGGCCCGGAAACCCCTAAACCCAAACTCTATAGTTCTCAATACCCAGGCATGGGTAGTTCTCTATATCAGGGTCCGCTTTCAGGTACGGCACCCTTATCAAAAACCCTACAAGGGACTCTAATTTGGAGAACTATACCCATATTGCTACAGCCCTTTTGACCCTTATAACCCTTATCATCCGTATAACCCCTATAGCCCTTATGACCTTCATAACCCTATAGCCTTTATAGCCTTTCAAACCTGTATACCTTACAACCCTAGAACCCTCATCAGCCTTATATTCCTAGCTCCAGGCTTCGCCGGCCCTGGATCTCGGCTCCGGGCGCTGGGCCCAGGCGCTGGCCGCTGGCGAGGTGCCTTTTTTCCAAGGGGGGAAAGGGTTTAGGGGCCTTGAGGACCGCAGTCAGTAGTCCACCTTTCGAGATTTTTTGTAGGGTTTTCGGTTCTGTGCTTTGGGTTTTCGGGACGAGATCTCGAGATCTGAAGCCTGAGCTGCGAGAGGACCATGCGTGCGCTCTGCTGGACGACCACTCGGCACGGGGCTCAGTGAGGACGGTGGAGCTCAGTTGAGGCCCTCAGAGCGATTTTTGCCTGGATTTCTGAAGAGCTCATGAGGGAAGCATGGGAAGTCACATGGGCTTTTGAGAGGTTTCGGGTTTTCGGATATTTTCCTGGAGCCGCAAGCAGATAGTGGATCTTGAATGGAGCCCATCTAGGGCTGTACAGCGTTCTTTGAGGGTTCTGTAAGGGGTGTTGAAGGGTTCTGTAACTCAAAAAGACACCCCAAGTCCTTGAGGTCAAATGTTGGGGCAAGAACGATTTTGGCCAACTGGGTCAAGGGCACACGCGGTCCATCGGCGACTCAGACAGCAGGGCATGGGAGTTTGACTTGAATCGTGGCGATTCAGAAGGCTACGCACTTGAGTAATATTACAGGTCTGAATATTGAGCCATGTTAGATGGCCCTTTTTCTAATTCTCGTAATAATCACATATCTCAAGATCCTCTTCCCACTACTTGCACTGAGGCGCCTGTGGTACTCACCTCAACGTAATGGGCTCCAGGACTCCTTGGGGGTTTGATTCCCAACCCCTGTGGATAGAAGCCTCCATAGCATTCAGACTTGGATGTAAAGCTAGCTGAAAGGAGCATGTTCAGGTTCCTCCCATGAAGCCCTTAATCCCCTAAGCCCGTAAAGTTCCATGTTAAAGGAACCCATAAAGTACTCACAAAGAGCTCTCTCTGTCCACCGGTCCTAGCTTGAATGGGTATCGCAAGCATAGCGGCTTATGCGAGCACATGGTGGTCCACACCGAAGAGATGAGCATCAACAGAACGGAACTTCTGGTGCGAAGCCAGCTCTTGTAGCCCAGTAGTCTGCTGCTGGACATCAAGCACTTTTCAGTGAGCAAACCTGTGGACAATGAAAGCGAAGACTTCCGAAGTCAGGAAGGCTACTCAACAGCTCTAGAATGCAGACCGGAGCCGCAGCAATAGCAGAGCAAACATCTGGTCGACGCCACGTTGTACTTCCCGCATAGACCGAATCACTGAACATTGCAACATTTGAGTGGTTCGGCACCTCCAGCACTGCCCGCTTGCCTGTGGGCTTGCTAGTTCGCCTGTTACTCAAGTTTTCCAAATATTGTTGGCGGGAGTGTATGCACCTGAGCTATCACTGCGATGTGGGCGCAGCCTTCCGAATGCCATGAGCCCATGAAGTCTGATGATGATGCTGTTCTCAATGCCTTTGAAGATCAACCATGTGTTGATGATGGCGTTGGTGGTGATGATGCTGACGATGACGGCGACGAACATGTTAATGCTAATGGTGATAATGGTCATAATGTTGATGATGACAACGATGATGGGCAGATGATATGACGATGATGATGGTGGTGGTGGTGGTGATCATCGTCGGCATTTACGTCGGCGTCCTCTTCCTGATACTGCTCTGGGCATTGACTTTCAGATCCGGTGTCTGCAGGTGACGAGCCTGGCGAAATGGGGGAGCCACTGGGCGGCGCAACAGGGCGACCTGAGGTTTTCCCCGAAGTAAGGCCGTGCAGCTCAGGAGTTCAAGGCCTACTTGCGCTAACTTGGGTCTTCCGTTGTAAACGGGGGCTAGCAAGGACCCTTACAGCGAGATCAGATCAGACATGCTGAGACGTCCTCACTCTTGGCAAGTTCGGGTCGGCTGCCACTTTTGCTATTGTGCCGAGGAACTTGCAGCCCGTGGACTTGGGCTCCAATCGCCATGCGCTGGCAGTAGCGGCGGGTGCCCTTCACAGCTGCAACCTGGCTTGCAGAGGAACTTCCCTTCTCGATTTCGGTATTTGCGGATAGGGACTTTGATCATCCCAAAAGCTCGAACCATGAACCTGAACTTTAAGCCTTAAAACAACCAGACAAAATCCGTTGAGTCCTAAATCCCCAATACCGGATCTGCAGACCCCGGTTCCCTGTGTCCTCGAATGCATTTAGGCAGATCGCCTACAGAGATCTAATGCTACACAATACAGCTTAATCTGATGCAAAACAGAATAAGTAGAACAAGGCAATATTTAACTTTTTGATGTGCGTATATATATGTATATACATATGTATATATCGCGTGGATCCGAGGTGCCATCCTGGACGATTACAGCGTGAAGTGTTGCTCGGAGAGCACTTTGGGTTTGAGTCTGCGGTTTTGCAGGGTTTGGTAAGGGGTTTAGTACTTTGAGTGTGGGTTTTGCAGCTGCTTTTTTTAGTGAAGTTTACTTGAAGGTTCAAGGGTATTTATGAACAGCTTGCTACCCCTGATCTCATGAAGCCTTGATAAACCCCTTTTAGAACCCTCATAGCACCCTACTTGCTAAGTCCCCATATACTTCAAGTGGCTTTTCAAGATCCCAAGCCAGCAGTCACTTCCACATGCGAATCGAGGGCTTGTTTCTGTGAGTTTCCCATGAGCGATGCGATTGTTGGGGTTTGGGGTGGAGCACGAGAAACCATCCCCCCAAAGGCCTTAAGCATGCGGCGATGCCAGAATCTAGGGTTCACTCTGCACCTAAACAGGACACCCAAAACCCTAAACCCCCAACATAGCCCCTCCAACCCTACATAATTCCTGACAGTGCCCCCAGGTTGGGGCTACGGCGCTTTTGGCCAGCTGGGCAACGGGGGCACGGCATCTCTGGGCGATGAGCCCCTCGAGACCCTTGGCCTTGTGTCTGTCTTGCGGGTGTTTGATAGGGTTCCCCTAGACCGTAAACCCTAAACCCTAAAGCCTAAACCCTGTTTCGCTAAACCCTAAAGCCTAAACCCTGTTTCCCTAAACCCTAAACCCCAAACCGTCTAAATCCCGTTATAATGTGTTATGGGGCTCGAGGCTTTCCAGTCGAGGGTTCTTTGAGCCGATGCTGCTTTAAGGCTCTTCTTGGAGAAGCTGGGGGGTACCTAGAGGACCAGCTTTTGGTGGCCCAGTGGAGGGTGCTTTTTTGAGGTTGTTTGGGGAGCTCTCCGAGGTTTTTTTTTGGGGGGCTCTCGGAGTCTTCGTGGATAAGGGTGGGTTCTGTTTGTTCACTCTGTGACTTGACACCTAGGCACCTAAACCCTGAACCTAAAACCCAAAGCAAAACCAATCCTAACCACCGGGTTTAGGTAGCTGCAGGGAAGGGCAGCGAACGCGCTTGTTTGTAAGTAGAGGCATTGAAAACCCAAGCAGGGTGTTTTGCCGGCACGGGCTTCCTACCTGCCTGCCTGCTGCCTGCCTCCTGCCTGCCTACCCACCTACCTACACTACATTCATACATACGTACACATGAACTGGCATACGTCCGCACAGAAAGTGCCTACGACTGGAACCCCCTCGCAAAACCCTCTCACATCCCGCGTCTGAACTCTGAACTTCAAGCACGGTCACCGTCTTTGAGGATGGGCGATGCTCTGCCGGTGAGCCTCTACACCAAAGCCTCCAGCGAGGGTTTAGGGGCCCAAGAGATGCACAGGGACGCCTGGATGGAATCGAGGGACTCAGGACGGATAAGGTGTGAGCTTACTGCATTCAGGGATTTCGGGGTTCAGGGTTGGGGGGTTTAGGGTAAGGTGGGGTTGATATGTTGGAGAATGCAGCTTCGAGATTGAGATTTCAGAGATCCGTTCCAAGCGAGGCGCCTCTGAAGTGGGCAGAAAAGTAGTTTCTCGAGTGCTCCATAGCATGATGCGCGATGTCTGGGAGAGGAGGATTAGTAGAGAATGCCTCGAAATGGAAACGCCAACTGCGGGCCAGCATGGTGCGTTTTATGCCGTTCGAGGGGAACAATAAAGTATAACTAATTAAGCTCCCTGTCAGCATGCTCAAGGAATTCTAGCGATGTCTAGAAAGAACCTCTTCTGAAACCGCATCTCTCTTTCAAGGCCTTCTTCCCTACTTTAAAGACGTTGGAGCCCCTGAAACTCTTGAGACGCCGTGCAAGTCGCCGAACACCGAGGATCCGCCGCGACCCACGCGATTCCTACAGGCTTCCAGTGGCCTGGATGAACTGGAGCAGCGCAACAAAGCCCATTCGAAATTCCGAACCCTACTTGGAGGTTCATGGGTAGTTATAAGTAGGGTTATAAGTAGGGTAGCTATACTTACAACCCATATTAGGGGACTTTTAACCCTACTTATAACTACCCATGAACCTCCAGGTCAGCAAGTAAGCCCCAACAAGGACCTCCCAAAGAAAGCGCATCAACGTTGAAGTATGAGATCGTTTTGAAGAGTCTCCTGTGGTCCCAAATGAGAGACGGGTGCTGTCGGGGCTTTTCCCGACAGTCAAAGGTAGTGTTATCGAGATCGCAATAGGGGTTTGAGTGGTTACAAGTTCGTTACCCCCTATGTAAGTAACAGTTGTAGCCGTACTTAATAAGTCCTTCATTCTTTGGCGCCTGACTCCAAACCTTGTGTAAAGCCCTGCCATTGCCGAAACCTTAGAGTATAGACCCCGTAGAAATACTCCTAAGCTCTCCAAAGAGCCCATAGAAGCCGCTCAAAGAGCTCTCATCGCATAGCGCCGTCATGGAACCATATAGGTACCTTCGGGCCGAATATATACTATATGAGTACATGGAGCCTTCTACCCTCAACTCTAAACCCGGTAGAACGTCCTCAACTGTGTCGAAGCTCTCACCGGACTGGAAGCCCCCAAGAATCCTTCAAACAGGCAGCTGCTGCGAGAACTCGTCGACCAAGAGCCCGTGCGAAGTTCTCCAGGCGTGCTTTGGCGAAGCTCCGATGCTTACTATAGTTATAGAATCCGTAGTCATTGGAATAGAGAAGAGTTTCTTTAAGGGTTCGGCTAAAGGGAAAGGGACAGACTTTAGGGTTTAGGGTTCACAAAGTCAAGTGTCACTGATACTTTATGTCGATAGGGTTGAAGTCTCGTCGCGCTTGCCCAAAGGATTGCGGAGGATGCGGAGTACCGAAAAGTTCTTTTTCCGCCAGGAGAGGAAGTCATGCACCGCTTTTCGCGTTACGCTATTTGGTTGTCCCGGACAGAAGGCTGTGGTAGAGGACCCTGAACCCTAAACCCCTAAACCCCTAAACCCTTAAGCCCTAAACTTAACCCTAAACCCCTAAACCCCTAAACCCTAAACCGTGGAGGAGTCCACGGCGAAAATGGGCTTTGCAAGGTGTGCAAGACAAACATGCGAGTACGGCGAACTTTCGTCCAGTAAGGGAGTGTAAATGACGCTAGCAATTAGAAAATTAGAAGAGGGTTGCTAGGTCAATTAGAGACTTTACCGGTAGACTCTTACACGCCTACACTATTGAAAGGACCACGGGAGTTAGGAGTACAAGGTTTATAGTTTGTTGGGCTTTAGGCTCTTTTTGGGGTTCCGCATTGAAGGGCTTACTTTACGGCTTCATCAGCGTTCTCTAAAGTTTCCTTTTTGTGAAATATAAGGGGTCTGATTTGGGTCTCGCAAGGGCTCTGGTACTATAGAGAGTGTACAAGGGGTCGTATAGTATGGGATTTATAAGGTTGCTGGGGTGAGGTAGAGTTGCAATGAGTGCAAATTACACCAATGCTTGCTTCAAGCCCCCGTCAACGTTGTCTCGAATGTTGAGGCCCTGAGCGAGGGTACAGGTTAAATTCCTTGGTTTGTTGCAGGGGTCAGTGAAGCTTGGTGTCCCACGCTTTCTCCTTCCTCCGCGTGCACAGCTACCGCATGCCGCAGTCCCTAACGTTCGAGCTGGACGCCTCGGCTGTTTGACTGTTCAGCTTAGGTACATGGAGTCTGTCCTCATGACAACCACCACCACGACTTTGGACATCACCTTTGCAACGGCTGCTTTCTTGAAAATCGCCTTTGGACGCTGTCAGATTGTGGTTACGCCTCGCACACGCAAGCCAAAACGAGCCGGCGCCCCTTTTCCCGAGGCGCGAATGGCGAGCCACGAGAAGCGAATCATCACGTCCCTTGCTTGCAAACGAAAGGTGATTTGTATCAAAGCCTTCATCGGTTTCGGAATTGTCGAAACTCTATATACCCGAAGCTCCGCAAGCCTTCATCGGTTTCGGAACTGTAAACCCTAAGCTCCTTAAGAACTGAAGCCTGAAGGCTAAGCAGGTTTAGTCTGGAGAGCCTTTGCTTAGGGTTCTGTTTTCCTTATCTCGTGTTCTGACGCTGGGATCCCAGGTTCTGCTCGATGGGCTTGGTTGCAACCCTGCTGCTCTCGTTCATCATCTTCATCTGCAGGAGGACCATCGCAAAGTCACCTGGCTGCTTCCACGCTTCGAAGGGCACCAAGATCCCTGAATGAAGGAGTATGCCTCGAAATCGCCTGCAAGCCCTCTGCAGAACCCTAGAGGGCCCCGTAGAACCCTAAAAGACCGTTTAACTCAATGTCATTTCCTGAAACAGGCGTGTTTCGGGGTCTCTGGCTAGAGCGCCATCGGCTCTGGCCAAGCGGACGCGGACTAAGCATGAAGCAGGGCTTGTATTCTGTCCTCACTAGCAAGGCCCCGATCAAGTTCCTACGCTAAGTAGAAGCATCACAATAGCAGCAAAATCGCGTACAGCACCAAAACAAGACCTGATATATATATATATATATATATATGTATATATATATATATATATGTATATATATATATATATGTGTATACGTATATCAATAGATATGTAATATACACCCTGCTTTCCTCGGGAGTGCTGCGCTGCAGCTCGAGCCCTAAACCTCCTGAAGATTCACGAAGAAGAAGGACAGCAACAGACGTGGGCTTACGTTACAGCACGTAGGTTGCGGGGTTCAGGGCTTCGCGTTGAGGGTTTTGGGGATTGAGGATTAGGTCGTAGGGTAGCGGACTGAGTGCTTAGCATTCGCATCCCTGCTTGGAGAAATATTTGCGGGGGTTGGTACAGGCTGCGACAGGTTTCATACCAGTGCTGAGGAAGAATTCGCAACAACAGCTGGTCATCTGCTCTTGTGGTCCCCATACAATCAAATTATCGAAACCCCTGTTTTAATCAGGAAGGCACTTAAATTGGAGTCACAGGGCCGTGGAGAACACCTTCGAATTTCAGGGTTCAGACCTCCCCTAAGCCCTAAACCCTGAACCCTGAACCAAAAAGCCCAACTTCCCCTGACGTTGAAATCTCATCCTCAAGGCGGCGCGCACGGCTTGAGAAGCTGAGAGAAGATGCCCCGGGACCCAAACAGCGATGTGAGACGTTCTTTTGAGCCTTTGGGGGCTGTTGGGGCTCAGTGCTCGGTGGTTTTTGTGGTGACGAAGACAAGCTGCTCATGTGCAGAAAGGAGGATCTTAGTAGGAAGAACGTGGCCATGAGAGCTCCCCGCATCTGACATGGTTTGCTTCCAAAGCGGTGTTGTGGGTGTCAGCACAGCGAGAGTTGAAGCAGAGTTGTTTGCTCCACGGGCCACCCCTAGAGAAGTCTACAACTTGCACTGAGCATTCCGAAACCGATTCCAACCTGCCGTAGTGTGTCATGCGAATCCGACGACACCCGCTTCGCCAAACCTCCCACAGTCAGCGTGCGATTTGCATCCCTTGAGGGCCAGTTCTGAACCTGGAGCGCTAGAAGTCTTCCACATAACCCATAACCGCGGACATAAATTATTGCAGCATAAACTTTCTGTCGTTTGGCTTTCGGCAACTCCCCATGAAAATGATCTGCTGCTCTTCCCTTTCATCGTGTGTAGACCATCGCTCCTAAGGCGGCGATCAGAGATATGCTCCAAAGCGACGATGACGTCAGCAAGGTCCCGTCTGCTACAGTATCGCCCGGCAAGCAATAACTCTGAGAGCAAAGATACCCTACAAGCAGCACGCCCCCATATTTGTGTGCATATATGTCAAGCATATACGTGTGTATGGGTATATTAGACATAGACAGAAGCAGATGTAGTAGAGATGGAGTACTGTAGAGACAGATAGACGGCCAGATCCGTACGCAGATACCGGGATGGTTAGATAGGTCGGTATTAGACAGCTAGTCGATAAATCAATGGAGCGCTAGATTGGTAGGTAGATAAGTGGATAGGTGGATAGACCGAATGATGGTGAGCTGAACGTTTAATGAAACGGTTCCTGGGGCTCGCTTGGGATGGTTCTCCTCGTGAGCCAGAGACTGTTGTTTGCTGCTGGCGGCCCCCATACTCTTGGCAGAGACGCTGCAAGCGAGAGAGTTGCTCGTTCCGTCCTTGTTCTTGTTGTTTGTTGTCGTTTGTGGATGTGAGGATGATCGTGGATTTTCAGTTCCCTTCTGTTATGATTGCTTCTGCTAGTTTCTTCTTCTTTCCTTTGCAACTCGGGCCCCCCCCTCGCCTCCACCACGAAACACGATGCCCTTACTTTGCGCAGATGGGCTCCGCCCGTGCCCTGGCGGCGGCCCTTGAACGAGAGGCCGGTAAGAGGGTTGCATGGAGCTGGCCGGGGGTGGGTGTAGAAGCTTGAGTCATTATCACTACGATTATGATTCTTCTAGACTAACTCAAAACCCCAAAAACCCAATTCTAATCATTATTATGATTCTTCTAGACTAACTCAAAACCCAACTCTAATCATTACGGCGGCCAATATACGAGGGTTTGGGGCCCAGGCTTAGGAGACTCGGCCCGGAAAGGCCACAAAAGACCCACCGTGACTCCCAAAACCAAGTGCCGAAACCAGAGAGTTTGAACCCCAAGCCCTACACCCTAAACCCCTCAACCCTAATCCCCTAAACCCCCTAAACCCCTGACCCCTCAACTCTAAACACCCAAACTAAACCCAAACAAACTCCAGGTAGCACCGGGCCCCCCTTCATTGGGCGAGACGCTTCGCCCGGAGGAGGCGGGCGGCTTTTGGGTATGGACTTCAGGGCTCGTTTCATACCATATCATAGAGTTCTAATCTATCATATTTTGTCTTATATATTTATGGTATATCATGTTATATCATGGGTTCAGGAATTCGTGTTTGATTTTGTTTCCTTGGGTTGTGGGGCTTGGAACTTCGCCGGGCTATGGTAGGTCTTTAGAACAGGAGCCCCAACGAAGGTACTTAGAGCCCCAGTTGATGCTACTGTACTACAGAGGCCTCATTCAACCCTTATGAAAGCCTTATGCCCTGCGAAACCCTATGCAAACCTTCCTTGATTGCTTTAGCGACACTTTGCGGAGCCAACACCAAACCCCAATACAAACTAACCCTGGGAACTCCCCCAGACATTTTCTGTAAAGCCCGACACAACTCCAACAAGCCAGAGATCCTTGCCTCGTTACTAGAATATAATATCGTATAACAAAAAATACTTTTCTACACTATAGAGTACTATACTTCGATATAATGTAGTATAACATAACATGATACAGCAGAATATAACAGAATATGGCATTACAAAAGTTTGAAGCCCACGACGAGACCCGTTTTTTGCCAGGTCCCATCTCCCACGGCGGAGCCGAAACAGCTTTCAGCGGCTTGGGATTCAAAGGGGGGGAGGCGGCGGCTGAAGTGCTTTTGGGGTACTTAGGCTTCTTTGTGGGTTGAAAGGCCTTTTTGGGGTTGTTAGGTTCATCTTCTTGTTGGGAGGGTGGGTTGGGGGTTTAGGGCTTGGGGCTAGTAATTGGTATCGCGGCTCCTATAAGGTTTCTTGTACGGGTGCGGTAGGATCCCCAGAAGCCTGATTAAACCCTCGAAGCCTGAGCTCCTTAGCTTGGACTCAGCCCGGACCCGCTTGAACCCTTGAGCCCCAGAGCGAATTGCACCCAAAGCTAGCGAAAGTTCCAAGTCCTTCAGCCCTAAACCTGTCAACACCGTTAGCCACTGAGACCCCAAGCCCAAACTCTGTTCTAGATCCCTTATGGAACCCTGGTACAGTATAATGGGCCCCAAAACCCTGTTAAGGCCCTACATTAAAAGCCGAAGACCGTGAGCCTCCCCAGGTCCCTGGAGGTCGTCCTCTCAGCCCCACCCCCAGTGAGGTGGGGGCCGACTCCGTATCTACCTTTGAAGACTTTGAAGAGATCTGAAAAGAGCTCTAGACTCTAGAAGGTTTTTGTTTTTTGTCCTGTCGGGATCAGCATTCCAGAAGGCTTTGTAGCGGAGTTCGATAACGGGTTTCTTGGGGCTGCAGAAGCTCCTTCTCAGGGGGGTATCCATTGACTGAAAAATGGTGAGGGGCTTGGCAACGCAGTTCATCCTAGGGCAACTACACTCTCGATGTGTTGTAGCCTTGAACAAGGTACTAAGCCCCATGCTTACAGCTGCAGTAGCCATGAACTCTCAAGCAGGGATTGGATTTTTGGGGTCAGGGGTTTGACCCGCTGAGCCCTGAACCAGAAACTACAGGTTGAGGTTTGCGAAGCTTCCACGTGTCCGATAGAACTATGCACCCACTCTTCATTACCGCCCGTAGCCCCAAACCGAGAAGCTGCAAACCCTAAATCTTGACCCCCGAACCGACAAGCCGCAAACCCTAAACCCTAAACCCCAAACCGAAAACATCCTAAACCCTAAAAACCCTAAACCCTAAACCCTAAACCCTAAAACCCTAAACCCTAAACCCTAAACCCTAAACCCTGCACCCAAAGCCCCAAGCCGGAAAGCCGCAGCTGAAACATGGAACCCTGAGCCCTCAAACGCTTTCTCGCACAGACCCATTCCGTTCGATCTGGGCCCTTCCCACCTCCGGCCAGCGCCTCAGGTCTTAGGGTTCTGTCCCTGAAGTTGAACCCCCCCCCTTCATAGATCCCTTCCAGATCCCTCATAGCACGTTTAAGGCACACTCTTACGGAAAGCCTTCAGCCCGAAACCCCATAAAGGCCTAGACTCTCAGACCCGCCCAAACCCCTAAGCACCCTAAACCCTAAACCCTAACCCCTAAGCACCCTAATTCCTAAACCGCCCAAAGCCCTAGGCCAAAGCCTCTGTACCATCTCCACGGCCGCCCCCCGCACGGTCTCCGCGCCCGGGGCCGCCGCGGCCGCCAGCCGCCGTGACTGAATGGTACTTGGAGGATCATGGGACTTTGTAAGTAAGGTTATAGGGGTCCCTTTTAAGGGATCTATAGGGGAACGACAAGGGTTTAGGGTTTAGGGTCTACTTGGAGGATCATGGGACTTAGTAAGTCAGGTTTAGGGCTCCCTTTAATAAGGGTACTATTGGGTTCTATAATAGGGTTCCTTAAAGGGGTCTATAGGGGTTCTATCATGGGGATCATGGGACTTAGTAAGTAAGGTTACAAGTACCTTAATTGGGGTTATAAGTAATTATAAGTATAGTTACCTTATTTATAACCTCAGTTACTAAGTCCCATGATCCTTTAAGTAATGTAGGGGCCTCAACAGTTAGGATAGGGTTCCCGGTTCCTTTATCGGGATCTATCAAGGGTCCCACAAGGGATCTGTACAAGGGTTCTATAGTACAGGGGTCTTAACAATTTGAATAGGGTTTGGGGGTAGAACAAACAGAAATTGTAGCAAGGAACCCCTTAAAACCATGTTCTAATTATTGAGGCCCCTACATTAAAGAGTTTGAGGTGCATGGTCCAGGGTTTGGGTTTAGGGATGCGGGTGCAGGGTGCGGCTTAGGGTTTGGAGTTGGGAGTATACTCATCCCGAGGCTTCCATAGCATATCAGGTATACTTCAAAGTTTTCTGAAAGGCCCTTCATTACGTGTCCATGCCACCCTTACCGCTAAACCCCATACCGGCCTATACCTCATATGTAGGATCCGTGATCTGTCCGTGCTTCTTCGCGTGGCTTCGTCCTGCACGTGGTGCTCCTACTGGCTACATCCTACATCCTAAAATCTCCCTGCACTTCGGTTTCATGAAGTGTGGTGTTGTACAGTCCTTTTGCACTACCCTAAACCCTCAACCCTAAACCCCAAACCCTAAACCCCAAACCCTATATGAAGTTTTCTGCATGGGCCAGAGAGTGAAGAGCCCTTTGCAGGGCCTGAAGTTGCCCAACTACACCTCCGAGGCCAGGCGTTTGCTTCAAGATTTCCCATGGGGTATCAATTTCTGTAATACGGGTAATCTTCTTATGATATCAGAACTAATGAGATAAGATAATGTGTGTAAGCCCAGTGGCTTCCAAGGCAGCACTTTGCACTAAGCCGTAGTTTTTGCTCCTACTCATACTCAGAGTGACAGCAGTGACCTCAGATGATAGTAGTGATCTTTTCATGTCTAATCGCCTAACGGGTATTGGGCTCGCTTTGTCCCGGAAGACAAGCTGCCGTTTTGGGAAGATGGGGCCGTGGTCTTGAAGTACAAGCTTCTACCCAACACCCTGCAGGCCCCAGATACACAATGCTGACCCTAAACCCCAAGCCTTCAACCCCTCCAGCTTTGGGCCGCAAACCCCTGAACCCTTCAACCCTAAACCGCTAAACCCTAAAACCCCAAATCCAAAACCTTAAACCCTAAACCCTACAAGCCTAAACCCCTAAACCCCTAACCCCAAACCCTGCAACCCTAAACTGCTAAACCCTTAAAAGCCAAGCCTAAACCCTAAACCCTATACCTTAAACCCTAAACCCTACAAGCCTAAACCCCTAAACCTCAAACCCTACAACCCTAAACCGCTAAACCCTACAGCCTAGAAGCCTTTGGGGCCTCCCACATAAGCAACTGCGACCCTTCCTGCTGCCAGGAGTGCTAGGCCACCAGACCTCCTTCTGGTGGAGGCTTTGGAAGTCCAGGGTTTCATTGGGCAACAGGGTCTCGGGTTAAGCTTTGAATTTTGAAGTGTAGGTTTAGAGTTTAGGCTTTGGAGAATGGGGTACATGGTTTAGGTTTTAGGCTTTGGAGTTTGTGTTTTTGTTTGAGGTTTGGAGTTTGGCGTTCACGATGTTGTTTTTCAGTCTAGGCTCAGTTCTCGTAGCTCAGGTAGACTAGGCTGTAAGCCGTGGCTCCCAGCACAGTGCTTGCGCGGAAGAGTTGGAGTTTGTGCTTCAAGACGGTCAGGGGCAATTTGGGAAGTGACCGGAAGCTGTGCACCAAACCAAGGGCCCATAACCAATGAGTAGCAACTGAGTGGTAATAGTCTCCCCTCCCCGTCCCAAGCCATGTGCAGTCCTAGCATAACTCACACCCAATGCCCCGCCCCTCTTGTTTTCCGTGTGGTTCAGCCAGTAGGAGTACTGAAGTTTGCATCTCCATGCGTCAATGAGATCCAGGCAATGAGCAGGGAGAATGGCCAGGGCTGTTTCATCCCGAAGCGCAGAATACTCCGAGAAACATGTCTTGAAGCCCTGTGTTGCTGGCCTCGATCTCGGTCCGTCTAGTCTCCCACGCCCTAAACTCGAATCTGCCCAAGCTTCGTGAGCCGCAAAGGACGCATGCACAACGTCTAAATAAAGTTTAGTGACTGGCACCGGGCACCTCCCACAGAGTGGTATACAGGACGCACGAACACACGCGCACAGGATTCTCACGGGTTCTTTCGCTGTTCATGGCGTCTCCGCGTTGTGCACACCTCGCCAGGTCACAGTTCGTTGCTAGTAGCTCTCTTTCTTCGTGTGGTCTGTTCTCGGAGCTTGAGAAGTAAACCTCTGAAAAGCTTCAACTCAGGGTGGTCTTGAAGTACGCTGCCTCCTACGCATACGTATTCATGACGAAGCCACGCAGCAAGGACAAGCCTTCATTTCACGCTAAACCCCAAACCATACGCCTAAAACCTGCCCCCTAGCTCTAAACCTGAAATCCCAAATGCTTGGTCCCAAAGAGCCGGAGCCAGCTGAACACAAGGCGGATCTTTCGTAGCAAATTCGCCCCTAAGCCTGGGCTCGGATAAATGAGGGGATGCTCTCGGGACCGCGGACTAAAGCCTTCCAAGGACCCCAAGATTTTGATTGGGCTGAGCTTCTTCTAACCAGTGATATTGGGGGAGCTAAGGAGCCAGGGATCATGATAATTCCTATGAAATAAAGAGCTAAAGAGCCAAGGGAACCCCCAAAACCACTGGTTAGTCTTTCCAGCCTTCAAGGAGCACCCCAAAAGTTGTTGAAGGAAGAGGGCCGAGAAGAGCTCACGGTGCTGAGAGGCTTCAAAGAGCATTCCCCATAGGTCTCTGAAGGCCCCACAAGCGGCCTCACAAGGACTCCCAACACAATGCATGCGGCTGTCGAAGACACTTTGCGAGCTTTATGCCAAACGGCAGGAGCCATAGAACGAGTTCTTGCAAGCCCACACGTGCCAAAAAAAGTCACGGGGAAGACAACCAATACCATTGGGGTTTCCTTTCTGTGATTCTAGTATAGTACTATAGGGGACTAATTAAAGAATTACCACAGGTGTGCAAGAGCAGTTGTACCCTTTGGTCACAGTCAGTATTCACGCGCCTTCTCTCGGCTCAAAGTGTGGGAACAGGTAGGAGCCGCCAAAAGATCTTCAAAACATCAACCATGTTTCAAGAGCATACAAGCTCATGTCAGTCCTACGAGACAGATTTGTAAGCTACTGACTCGGACTGCTGTTTCGACTGCACTCAGCCAGAGCGCCAAAGAATGGCCCCGTCTGGGCTCGAATGTGTGAGCCCGGGCCTTTTCCAGGAGTCTGGCCAAGAAGCCAAACTCAAGGTGCTTTAGGGTTAATGCCCGGCCCGAAGTTTCAGACACTTCACAAGCTCAATACTTTGGCCAAACGGTTCTTCACTTCAGCAGCTCTCATTGTGCAATCCAACAGCCCTTACCCCTTAAGCAGAGACTGGATTCTTGATTCTTGATCCGGTTGGCAGCAGGTAGATGCCCTCTGAGACTCAACCTGATCCCTGATCTTGCTAAAAGGATTTAGGATTTAGGGTTTAGGGTTTTAGGGTTTTAGGGTTCAGGGTTTAGATTTTTGAAGGGTTTTGGGTTCAGAATCCACCACAGAGCTCAAACCCTGAGGCAAACCCGGAGGCACATGGAGCAAGGGCGCAGCCGGAAGTAATGTGATATAGGAGTCGGTGTCAGTAGTAGTATTCCCGTATGGTCCTGAATATGATTCTAGCGCACACACGCCAAATCCTACGTACTAGCACCACTGCTCCCAGGTCTTATCGGAGTGAAGAGCAGGCATTGATACAGGCCGTGGTGACAGTTCGGCTTTTGGGAGGATTTCTGTAAGGGTCCTTCTTGAAGCGCTTGGCATTTCGGGCTTAGGGTCTTTGCAGACTAGGCATCCCAGGTGGGGAGAATCGGGAGCAGGGTCACTCGAATTGAAGGCTCTTCTGGTCTCAAGGTTTGGGGTGTAGGCTTTAAGCTGGGTTCATGTTAAGAAATTTGAATCAAGTTCCCATAATAAGGAAACCATAGTATGTACCCATAGATCCCTGTTAGGATAACTTAAATCAAATCCCTTAACGAGAGCAGCGGCCTTAAAGGAACCCTTAAAGGATCCCTACTATTGCAATTTAAACAGAATCCCTTATCCCTTAAAGGAACCCTCATAAATCCCTACTAAAGTCCTTAACTTAAGAAGAGCCTAGAAGCCCTCCCAGAGACTCCAATATCCCTCAGTTAAGGAATATTCCTTAAATTATGGTAGGATCCCTTATATGATTTAAGCTCTATTCTTTAATTAAGGCATATTGGAGTCCCATAAACCCTAAACCCTATAGATCCCTTCTAGATCCCTAAAAGGAGCCCTAGGTATTCCTTAATTGAGGGATCCTTGGGAGTCTCTGGGCTGTTTGGGGCTCCGCAAGCGGAGCGCTTCCGGGAGGCTCTGCGCCTGCGACTGCGGCGCCTGAATGAGCAGCAGAGCAAGGCTTGGGCCCTTATGTGGGTTCCTTTAAAGGGGTCTATAAGGGTTACTATAAGGGACCCGTAAGGGTTACTATAAGGGACTATAAGGGTTACTATAAGGGACTATAAGGGTTCCTTAAAGACCCTAAACCCTAAACCCTAAACCGTGGATGCAGGGGTCTTAATAATTGGAACAAGGTTCCTTTCAAGGGGTCTATAAGGGTTACTATATGGGATCTATAAGGGTTACTATAAGGGACTATAAGGGTTCCTTCAAGACCCTAAACCCTAAACCCTAAACCGTGGATGTAGGGGTCTTAATAATTGGAACAAGGTTCCTTTCAAGGGGTCTATAAGGGTTACTATATGGGATCTATAAGGGTACTATAAAATGTAGGTGGGATCTGAAAAAGGGGGGGTTCCTTTAAAGGGGCTCTATAATGAGGGTACTATGAGGGTAGGGATCTATAGGGGGGGTTCCTTTAAGGGGATCCCTTTAAGGGTTCCTTTAAAGGTGTAGGCTGTGAGGTTAAAGTTATCATTGATCATCATGAGGGGGTCCTTTGTTTAAAGGGCATTATCAGGATTCTAAGGATACTAAGGATACTATAAAGGCTCGACCAGCTGGAGAGTAAAGTATAAGGGATCTGTCAAAGGGCTTGTAAGGGCATTACAAAGGTACTAGAAAGGACTTTTAAGTACTGTGCGGGTTTAGGGCTTTGGGGGTTTTACCTATGCTCGGTTCAACGACCCTAAAACCAGAAACCCAAGGCCAAAACCGCAAAGCCCCCAAGCCCCGTAGAGCGAGCTTGGTAAAGATCCAGCCCTTGCGCTTTGGGGGGGGCTTGGGTGCCAGTGCAAGGCCCTTTTTGAGAGATCGATGTGCCAGAAGTTTGTGGGCAACAAGTAGAGTAGAGCCAACAAAAAGTAGCGAATTGAAGAGGGTTCAAAGGTAGCCAGAGAGTCCAAAGTCTTCAAGCGGGCGGAGATCCCCGTCATGATGCAAGGTCGGATGTTGGAGTCAATTTCGAAAGCCTTTTGGAAGCTGATAGGACCCGTTTTCAAATCCCTTGAAAAGCCCTTAGAACCACCCATCGAGTTCTCTGCGCTGTGAGGCGAAGGAGTCGCTTCGCAGCTCCGAGCTTTGTGCCGAGGACCCGTGAGCAGAACGTGTCACGGTGGGAGCTGTGCATATGGGAGTTTCCGAGAATTAGGGGTTCCTTATACTAAGGATCCCGCTATTACATAGGGTCCCCCATTTTCGGAAACCCCCATATGAGTCTGTCTGTAATGGTAGTTTTTCGAGGTTTTCGAAGGCGTGCGGATGGCAACGAGCTTTGGGGACAAGGGTTGTTGCTCAGGAAGTTGATTTAGTTTAAGCTGCCCCAACACATGCATGTTCTTCAGCCGTTTCTCCATCATGCCCTCTGAAACCAACCTCATTTGCAACCGAACCGGCCTCACAGAAGCCCTGCAAGTCAAAGCTGTAACTGGCAAGCTTTGAGTTCCTGAACAGGAGCCCTTGAAAGCCCTGGATGAACCCCAGGACACGCACGCTGCACCGAAAACCCGAAACCCCTCTAGAAGCCGCTCTAGAAGCCGCTCTAGAAGCCATCTAGAGCCGTACACAAAAACTACGGCCCTCCAGCGGCCGCCAAAGAGAATACCCGAGGAGAACCGCGCACAGACCGAGGCGCTCGCGGAAATCGAGAGGTGGGGGTTTCTAGCGTTCTAGACTAGTACATCATACAGTGGTGCGCTATAACAAGTTATAGTAGATTTTGCAGTGTTATGGAATAGAAGCCGAAGTTGGCATGATGAAAACGGAGCCTTTTTGCTGAGCCGTATCTTCAAACCCTCAATCGCAGACAGTGTGCCCTTCAATCTGTTCTTGTATTGATGCTCTTCAACTCCTCAGACACAGCTGGAAAGA